TTGAGTTGGAGTCTCACTCTGTCGCCCAGACTGGAGTGCAGTGGCCACTCCCGGCCACCGCACCCTCAACCTTCTGGGCTCCGGCGATCCTTCCGCCTCAGCCTTCCGAGTAGCCGGAATTACAGGCATGTGCTACCACGCCCGGCTGATTTTTTTTTTTTGATTTATTGTAGAGATGAGGTCTCGCTGCCCAGGCGGGTCTCGAACCTGCAGGCTCAGGCAATCCACTCACCTCAGCCTCCCAAAGGCGCGGGATTACAGGCTGAGCCACCGAGCCCGGCTAGCACTGGAGGATTTTTGAGCAGAGGAGTGCCACGATCCAACATAAGTTGTAAAAGAATGATTCTGGCTACTTTCTGTGCTCAGAGTAGGCTGTGAGGAAACAAAACTATAAACAGGAAAGCCAGTCGGGAGGCTGCTGCACTCATCGGCAGCAAGTGTTGGCGCTTCTTTCAGGGAGTTGCCACAGAGGTTGTAGCAGGCAGTGGCAAAGGATCGAGGGAGGGCTTCAGGTGGTGGACGCACAGCACCGTGAGTGAGTATGAGCACAGGAAGTTGAGGTTGGCCAGGGTTGTGTTTTTGCCAGGTGAGAGAGGAGTGGTTACGATTGACCGAGGAATTGGAGCCAGGTAGAGAGAACATCACAGAGGGAGGGGCAGTGAGAAGGTGGTGGGATAAGTACCTGGGGGTAGCACAGGGATGCGGGACAGGTAGGTGACAGCAGCAAGAGGAACCATCACGCCATTGTCCCATGATGTCAGGTTCAAACTGGTGGGTTTTGGAGAGGGAAGGGAGCAGCCTTCCGAGTCCGGTGGCACTAGTGCAGCACACCAAGCCTCTACAGAGGAGCGGCAGGGAAACTGCCCGAGCGTGTGGGTTCGTCTCAGCCTCAGCACTGTTGACGTGTCAGGCCTGGTGGGTCTTCGCTGTGGGGCTGTCCTGTGCATTGCAGGACGTGTAGCAGCGTCCCTGACCTCCACCCACTAGGTGCCAGCAGCAACCCCCAGTTCTGTCAGCCCGAAATGTTCTCAACTATGCCAGATGGTCTCGGGGGCGCAGAGACTCTCTAAAGGACAGGCTAAGAGCATGGAGCCTTGGGGTGACGATAGACCATGAATTCCAAAGAGCACGGTGGAAGTTTCCAGATGTCAGGCAACAGAGAGGGAGGGATAGGGACAGAATAGGGGCTAATCCTCCAGGAATCAAATGGCAGGAGATGGGGGTAAACTGAGGCAGAGATAGCTTGTAGCTGACATAAGCCAGGACAGGTGATCAGACTGGACTTCGTTTACAAGGGAGCTAACATTGCAGATGGTCTGTGCTGGGAAACATAGATACCCACCTCTTTTAGTTGGAAGCAGTGATGCTTTGAGAGGGCAGGCATGCGAATGACCAAATGTTGAAGGGGGGAAGTTGTGCTTTTTGTGATTTCTGCAAAGTGGCTGGTCTGCTGTGAAGAAGGGCTTATTTATAAGCTAAGGTGCTTTATATTCAATAAAGAATTCAGGACTGAAACAGATAGACTTTTCAGATTTTAATTCTGGTGCTGTCATTGGTTTTTTGAACCAGGATGCTGTGATAGTAGTGGAAAAACTAAATTAGCAGAGCAGGATTGATTCTTAATAAAATGAAAGTTCAATGTCAATGCATTTGCGACACAGAAACTCAGTGGATGATGTCATTTCTCACTGTCCTAGGATCAGTTTGTGTGTGGAGAAACAGTACCAGCACCTTCAACCAACAAGGAATTAGTTAAATGCTGAGGAAGCCTTCGGCGGTCTAAATCCTGAACAGCTGGGAAGGAGCCATGTGGAGACCTCAGGTGCAGAGTTCCTGGCTTCCACAGACACCAGCTGGTTTGCTGTTCTCTGGTAGAGTGGATTCTTTCCATCTGCTGCCAAGTTCATCTTCAAGAAGCAAGGCTAAGACATGACACGCCTGGATTTTGTGCTTAGCACTTTGAATTGGAAGCATTCTTAGTTATCCGTCTGAAGCTAAAGGATGATGATTTCAAGCCAGTGCTTTCTTGCTCTCGGTTTCCTCATTTTTGTATCTTAAACCTGATTGCTTCAGTAGCCGATAACAGCATCATCTACCTCAGGCATGGGGATCCCTTAAGAAAAAAAGAGACTATATTTTTGACTTGGCTATTAAGGTCGTTAAAATGAGCCCTTCCTTTGAAATTTGACCTCAGCTTTACTGGTCTAAATTTAAAACGAGTTGCCTCCGTCTCCTCAGTCTTACCCTTCTTAGGATGTTCATGTTCTGTTCAGCATGCCATTCCTGTCACGTGTCATGCTCAGAGTTTGGTCAGGGTGTTAAGAGAAAATACAGTGAGGCCACAGTTTCTCCAGAGCTGAAAGTTAGTGAATAAGAAAGAAAAGTCCAAAATGAAATGATCTGAGAATATGGAGCCCCCTCGTATTCTGCATAGTCCCTGAAAGTCAGGACAAGATGGAAAACAGCCCAAAGGGGTGCAAGTGGTAGCAGAGTGAGAAGAGCAAAACAGGCTGATGGAGGGAGATAGTTGACTGACCACCAGATCAGAGCAAACAGTATTTCTGGATGTGGGTTTTTGTTTTTTGATAAGGCTGACAAACTTGCATTCCAGATAGGGGTTCATGTCAAGTCCTGAGGCTGGTGGTAGTGCTTTCAGCATGTCACACTGCCATGCCCCTATAATGGGTGAAGTGTCTACGCAGAAAATGAGCTGAAATGGAGGCCGGTTCTGAACAGTAAGCCTGTGAGGGCACATCTTGTAAGCCTCTATAACGTGCAGCCAACGCAGACCAGCACTCATGCAGGGAAGCGCTGCCTGGAGGAGAAGCAGTGTCTGCAGGTGTGCTGCCTGACTTCCTCTGCTGCGGTGCCAAGAGGAGCAAGAAGTGAGGATCAAGTGCACGGGAAGTTTGGAGGTGCCCGTGTCTGTGAAATTAAAGAATGCACTAGCTGGTTGTTTGGGGATGGCTCCTGCAGTTAGAAAAATAGCTTGCTGCAATGCACATGTTCTGTTACTGAATGGATAATGCACTGCAGCACTCACTGGAGGTGTTTAGTCTACCTGCCAGCCGCGTGGCTGTGTGCCACCACCTGAATGAGGCGGTAATTCGCCAGATACTGTCCACCAAGAGTGCGTGGTACCGTCTGGCATCTTCTTGATGTGATGAGAAGTCTCAGTGCAGTCTGGGAGAGGGACCTCCCTGAAGTCATCCACAGAAGCTGACTGTCCCCAGCATGTGTTGGTGGCTTGGAGGGCTTGGTGACACATTAGCCTTTCTGCTGCTGCTGAGTTTCAAGCAAGAATACTCTTGACGTGAGTCAGTTATGTACACAGAAGAACAGGAAGAAAAGTTGCCAAGTTCAAACATCCCAGAGAAAGGAAGCATAGACAGCCCTGGCAACCAGTGATGGGCGGTAGTTGCAGTAATGGGAGTGATCTTGTTTCTACAGCAGCTGAGTCACTAAAGTTGTGAGCATAAAGAATGCATCAGAATCTAACCCTGTGTTAAGCAGAAAGTAAAACCAGAGCCAGGCATGAGCCAACACATCTATACCCAGCTACTCGGGAGGCCAGAGCAGGAGTTGGAGGCTGCAGTGAGCTGCGATCATGCCATCTGGTCTCAGGAGTGAGATCCTGTCTCTTAAAAAGAACAGGAGTCTTGCATATGACCTGGGTTGTGTGTGATGTGTGTGCCTTACTTCTTAGCCCAGGACATTTCCAGAGCACCAGGTTTTGTCTGTTGAGCTTGGCCATTTTGGCAAGGCCATGAGAGTCCACACCTGCAATTAGGGGCTGGACAAAGGGATTCCTCTGCTGTCAGCTCTCTAGTTTTAGGTGTGGTGGCCCATGGGAACTAAAATGGCAATTAGAACTTGAACTGTCTAAGTCATGAACTACAGAGAACCGGCTCCATTCCTCAATAACGTGATGTCACCATACTTTTGAGTTTAAAAAATATAAAGAGGACTCAGCAAATACTCTCATGTACATGTTCAGAAACATTTTTCTTGGAAAAAGTGCCCGATATTTTTGGTAACTGTACATAATAATTTATTACCAGCATAAATTCTATTGGTGTGCCGAATAAAGTCGTTCAGATCCATTTGTTTTCACGTACTTCATGTCAACATTTTGAATTTAAAAATTTTGTAGTTATGACTTTCTATGAGATAGAAATCTTTCTTAACCTGCTCTGGGACGTAATAGGTTTTCGGGATGGGTAGTGATTTCTTGAAGTGGTTTGAGGACCAGCTGTGGTCAGGACATAGTTTGAATCTTAGTTCCCCCACTGTGATCTTAGACAAGTCTCTGTTGATGTCCAGATCTGTGGAGTGTGGACCACATACCTCTCCATAGGGTTGCTATGTGAACCCATTCTTCAGCGAGTGTGTGTGTGGAATGCTTGCCCCGTGCTCGGTGCTGGGTGGAGAAGGCTGACTTTCTGCCACCTTGGAGCTCACGTGCAGCCAGAGGAGGCAGGAGGTAAGCAAAGTTACAGACCAGTTGGCAGAGTGAGCAGGTCAGGTGATTTAAAGAGCAAATGATGGAATCTGGTCTGGTACTGCTTTGAGACCTAAAGGATGAGGATGAAACAGTCTTGTAGAAATTAAACAAGCTAATGCCTGTAGGGCGTTTAGCACTGTGCCTGGCTTGTGTGCAAGAGAAGGTGGCGTTCAGTCAGGTGCCATCTCATTCCATGTCGGTGTAACGGTACCCGACACAGTCACTTACTGAGAACGAAGGCCTATTGGCTCACGATTCTGGAGCCTGGGTAGGTCAAGGGCAGGCGGCAGCATCTGGCAGGGCCTCATGCCGTCCCTACACACTGGAGATGTGGAAGGGGAGCAGGTGCCTGCAGGGCCACCAGGAATCGGCCTCATGCAACAACCCTCTGTTGGTAGCATCCAGCCCGGGAGAGGGAGAGCTCATGCCACAAGGAGGTGTTAACTCTGTGAGGGTGGGTCCCTCATGGTCCAGACGCCTCTTCAGGGTCCCACCATCGACACCATTATGCTGGGGACAATCCCTCGGTGTGAGTTTGGGGGAGACAATGTATCTCAGCCATAGCACGTGTAGGGTAAACGTGAGACTGGCCAAGGCTCCCTGCCCCCACCTAGCTGGCCTAGGGGTGGGTCCCGCAGCCTGTGTGCCAGCAAGCCTGTCACTAATGCCATGCCCTGGTGCTTGGCACCCACTGGTCTTCAGACTTGACACACCCATCACCACCTGGGGCGCTTGGGAAACCAGGTGCCCAGAGATCTGACTCTATTGACCCCAGTGCAGCTGGAGTGGCAGGATTTTTGCACAGTGACGCTGGTGATTTGTGATGTCTAGCCCCACCCAAGGACCACCGAGCTAGAACAGCAGGAGGCTCAGTCACAAAGTGAAAAGAAGCCAACTTTTTTGAAGCAGTCACCCGTGCTTCGCACATTGGGCACATGAGCGTGGTCTCCGTCAGGCACACACTGCATTCAGGCAGGCGGTCAGCCTTCACAAGGGGCTCTCGGGCACAGACGATCCCCTGCTTACTTGGGGAATCTGTGCCTTCCGGTACCTACTTGCAGAGATGTGCTTGCAGATGGCACAGGGACTCGGTAGCAAACAGTTCTCGGCAGGTTTCTGAATGAATATTGGTCACGTTCTGGGAAAGCAAGTTAGCACACTGAAAGGAAAATTGCCTTTGGTTTTCAGACCAACCACTCAGTTTAGGAAGAAAAGTCACCCACCAGGATACCCCAGAAGGGGAGCAAGTGGGCGCCTGCAGCAGGTGTGGAGGGAAGTGTTTCCAGCTGCTGATGCAGGTGAGGGAGTTTGGGGCAAGAACTGTGGAGGTGAGCAGTTTCCAGCATGGTGTTTGCACGCAGTAAGGGCTCGATAATCGATGGTTTAGTCTACATATGTCTTGCACCATGAGAAAGGCCTCATGACTGTGAGCTGAAAACTGCCTGAATTTGCAGGTCAAGACCACGGTGGGCTCAGCCATAACATGTCAGGGTTCCGTCTAGAGAAGAGTGAGCCACGAGGGGCAGAGGGGGAAGGGCTTGGTGGAGGGTGACTCTTCCCTGGCGCGGAGCTCGTGGAGGCGTCAAAGCAAGGCTCTGCCTCTCACCTGGGATGGCCCTAGAGCAGCCATGGCAGCACACTGCCGTCGGAGGAGAAAGCTTGGTGTGAACAAGAGAAAACGCACGCCGGAGCTCACATCTGTCTCACCACCTGCAGCCGGGCAGTGGGCAGCCCTCCACACAGAGCCACACGAGCACCGGCCAGGGTAAGGCACTTGGCAGACACCCACGGCTCCTGAGTGTGAGAGCACAGAAACAAGTCTCCTGCTGTCTCCCTGCCTGCCAGGTCCTGCACAGGATCTTGTGGGGTCGGTGCTCGTCCAGGACCACCAGGGAAAGGAATTCTGGGCCGTGGGGTCCCAGCTGAGCTGATTTCCCCACGTTCAGCATTGGGGATGCCAAGCCGGGTGGGGCACTGCCGGTCTTCAGTTGGTAGAGTGACAATGACGCTTAGATCTCACTGTGAAGTTGGCACCATAACCCTCCTGTTAACTGAAAGCCACCTTTGCAGTGTGTAATCAGGAATCGCTGCACTACAAACCACCCCAACACTTAAACCAAAAGGCATGTATTCTCACTTGAGTGTCTGCCGGTCAGCTGGGGGTTGACTGACCCGGGCTGGGCTTGGCTGGTGGCTCCAAACTGCATAAGGTCTGAGTCTGGCCCCGTGTTCTTTTCCTCCTTGAACAGGGACACAGATGCGAGCACGAAGTCCCACTGCACACACGGGTTTCAAGTCTTGGCCGGCGTCATATTCCCCCGCGACCCAGTGGCCTGACAAGCCCAGCCAGGTCCAGGGCAAGAGATCAGTTTTGCCATGGAGGGGCGGCGAGAGGAGGGAGTCTCTTTCCAAAGCAGCCCCGTCACGTCACTCAGTGGCAGGCGCGGCGTTTCAGTGCTTTGGATTCCCACTGCCGTTTTCTTTCTTTGTGGCAGTGACTGAATAATTGAAGACTCTCCACGGGATAAATGGAAGCAGTTAAAACATTAAAACGAGGAAGTCGCCCTCATCTTCCTGGCCTGACATGGGACCACAGTCCTGTGAGACCAATTTTTGCTATATTTCCATTTTGAGATGAATGAGGCTTTGACTGTTTTTCACCCAAGCTGGAGTGCAGTGGCATGACCACAGCTCACCACATCCTTGACCTCCTGGGCTCAGGCAGTCTTCCTGCCTCAGCCTCCCTAGGAGCTGGGGCTACAGGTACATGCCACCATGCCCAGCTAATTTCTTAATTGTTTTGTAAAGACAGGGTCACCCTCTGTTGCCCAGGCAATCCTCAAGCAATCCTTCTGTCTCGGCCTTCCAGAGTGCTGGGATCACAGATATGAACCACCATACCCAGATGCTGTGTTTTCCATATTCAGATTCCTCCATATTCACATCCAGGCTTCACCTTCAGCCACATAATTCTGATAATAACAGACTGCTATTCTGCCACAAATACCCACTGGAAGATATTTAGCTCTCATTACAGAAAGAAGGGGGGCCATGGCAGCACAAGGTGTCGTCATGTGAGGGAAAGTGCCCAGGGAGTCTCACACCTCAGCACGTGCGTCTCCTGGTGGCGAGAACTCAGGGTGACTCCTTGCGAATGTGTTTGACTGCACCTGTCCCTGCACATAGCAGTGGTGACTGGCTGTCTGTAATGCATCAGAAGAGCAGCGCTCCCTTGAGTCTGAGGTGACCCTGAACTTGGGACTGTGAACAGAGCCTACCTCTACAGCTGACAGGTCCTGGAGAAGGTGGCCTGCTGATGCCCATCCATCTGGCATGGCTGAGCTCTCGCCGCATGCCGAGTCAAGGGGGAAAGACCTGTAGTTAGGCCTGAAGGAGAACTTCCTGCTTGGGGAAGCCAAGGTTGTCAGCACTCCTCACTACAAAGTGTATAAACCAGGTCCTGCGGTCAGTAAGTGTGCCCCGAGCGGGTTTTGTTGACAAGAATGGGGCGGAATCTCTGGGCAGCCTTTTGGAGATTCTGCCAGTGTACTCCAGCGACAGAGTAAGACTCCAACTCAAAAAAAGATCGAGAATCTGCAGGAAGAGAGCACACTGTTTCTCACCTGCAACGGACCCACAGGCACATGCTGGCAGACAGGTGACCAGAAGCTCGGTTCTCTTCAGCAAGCACACACCTGGTTCATCACCAGTTTTACGAGTAGCCGAATGGACAGGGAGAGGCAGGAGGGACAGCTGCCGGTGGCCAGATGGCTCCTGTGGGCCTCACACGCCTGCTCCCGCCAAACCTGTGGGCTCCAGGGCCAAGCCTGGAGCAAAGGACCAGAGACAACACTCACTGACCACTTCTCTGCGTCTTGGCTTCTCACCTGTAAAACGGGTGCCTCTGGGCTCTGTTCTGGTGTGACTGTGAACAGGCAAATGACAATTTATTTTTTTAAAAAAAGCAACCTTTTTCTTCTTTTTGAGTCGAATCTCACTCTGTTGCCCAGGCTGGGGGACAGTGGCACACCATGACTCACTGGAGCCTTGACCTCCTGGACTCGGGCGATCCTTCTGTCTCAGCCTCCCAAGTAGCTGGGACCTCAGGTGCACATCATCACACCCGGCTAATTTTTTTATTTTTATTTTCGTAGAGACGAGGTCTTGCTCTGTTGCCCAGGCTGGCCTCAAACGCCTAGACTCAAGCGATCCTCCAGCCTCAGCCTCCCAAAGTGCCGGGATTACAGGTGTGAGCCGCCACACCAGACCCAAAAAGATTTTTTTTATATATTAAAAAACATCTAATAGAAATAGGTTCTCACTAAGTTGCCCAGGCTGGTCTCAAACTCCTGGCCTCAGGCAATCCTCCTGCCTCAGCCTCCCAAGTAACTAGGATTACAGACCTGAGCCACCACACCCAGCCTCAAATGGCAGTTTCTCTTCCTGGATGAGGGTGTCCTGGTTTGTCTGAAGTGGCTCCCTCGGGAGGACTGTTGTCCTTTGAGCTGGGAAGCCGCAAGTCTCCAGAAAGGACAGCACCAGGCCAGCAAGGGAAGCGGAGCCCCGCCAGACTGCGGCTTGGCAGCCCAAGCCCCAGCG